TGTGTGTGTGTGTGTGTGTGTGTGTGTGTGTGTGTGTGTGTGTGTGTATGTGTGTACACACACAAATATTATATTGAGTGACATTTAGGAATTCGTTTTAAAAAATATATATGGCTCGATTAAAGAAAAAAAATATATCAATTTTTTTTAATAGGTCAAATTTAGAATCATCGTTGCTGGATCACCCCGAGTTGGCCCTGCTGTTCTACCTGTGTCAGATGATGTTGCGAGAACTCGGAAAATGTAGTCGGCTTGTACAGCTTATACCGATGGATATGACTGGATATTTTGGTTAGTGAAAATAAAAAATAAAAATAAATTATACGAATAAAACCCAAGCCAATCATTTTGAGCCATTAATAGCTATAATACATCAATATTATTAATTTTATTTTCTTGTTTAATAAATATATACTACAGAAAACCGTGCCGGACCATCAAACATTGGCAACGTCATTAGTCAAATACTTTTGTGCAAGCAAATCCAACCGGACTTCAACCAAGAAGAAATCTGTAGCATAGCCAAAGACAGCCAAGATCTGGCCAAGCTCATCCAAGACATGCAAGAATTCCTTCCACAACAAGACACAGCAGCTGGTATATTAATTAATATGTTATACTTATAAATATTATATATTTATACACGATATGAGCGTATAACAAAAACCATTTATTTGTTTATTATTATTTTATTTTTCATTTTATTTAAACGATAAAAATAAAAATAAAAACTGTGGTAAATATATATTTAATAGTTATACTATATAATTTAATGAAACACTCTTTATTTTTTATCAAAAAATCCATGATTTATATTCAGATATTTATAAACTTCTATAGAGTTATTTAATCTCTCTTCTTGTATAGTGAAATAAAATACAGTTTTAAATAAATGTAACCTTTAACTTACACATTTTTAATAAAATATTTTCAAATTTAGGAAAAAGAAATATTTTTTTATGCAAATATTCAAAATCAAACATTATAAATCGTTTATAATTATAACTTACTGAAGTTTCAAAAGTCTAAATTACACGATATTTTTAAAACAGTAATTTTAATACCAAAACTTATATCCAGTAATGATTTTTAGTTAGTGTTTCATAAAATCTAAATAGTACATCTTGTTAAATAATCAATTTGTACGTTTATTATCAAGAATTCGATTATAAGTTTTAGATAGAAATTTGACTATAATGTTTTTTGATAAAAAATAAAAAAAATAAAATAAAAAAAAAAAAAAACATTTCACTAGTTTTCTTTTATGACTTTGAAGTTTGAATAACACTTTAATATAGTCTTGTTGAAAACTGTTATTATGTAAAATTTTAACAAATTTACTCTTCATTGCTTACTTTTATTTTACTATTTTGTTACTTAGTTAGATATTTGATATTTTGATATAACAATGTATTATTCGTTAAGTTTTTTTTTTTTTAAATAATTCTGTTATTATTATTATTTTATATACATTTTTTTTTTTTGCAGAAAAAAATGCAGCGTTAGAACCAGAAAACAGCAAATGGAAACGAAAAGGAAGAAGAAATTCAATATACACCAATGTCAGCTCATGTTGTTGTTTTTGTAGGCCAACTTACCTTTGATGTTTTATATTCGTTGTATTAGAGCACACATAAATATTATTTTTCCAAGCTCAAAATAAAACACAGTCTCTACTACACGAGTCCAGTATTGTATCACGTACCCCAATAATAATGACCAGCCTATATGTTTGCTATTTAATTATTGATTATTTTTTTAAATATATATATAGTATAGTTTAATGCTTGATGTATAACTGATCGATGACAAATTTAATTAATTTACATTTTGTTTAAATTGTATGTGATTATTTATCAATATTCATGTTAAGTCGACGAATAATAACCGTGTCCAAAATAAATATTTAAAACACCATCATATACGGTGACCAATTATAACGAGTTTCCTTTTGGGTTATTTATATATAAGCCATAAAGGAATGATAAAAGACCAAAAAGTAGAAAGAACTTAAAAATTTAATCTCAATATTTTTTCCTTTTATTAAAATTAAAAACAAGATAGTTATAACTTATAAGTCTGGATATGTTCGTGTATATTGTGTGTGTCTTTTTGCGAGAAAAAAATGGAAATTGATTAATTTTCAGAATAGTTTTAGATAGTTAAAACTACAAAACTTTCTTTGTTTTAACTTTAATATAAGTATAAAAACATTCTCAAAAAATAAAATCTATAATAAACAATATTGATGCAGTGGGATATTTATAACTCTCAAGTCCCATGAGTCTAAGATAATTCTAGTTATCAAAAATTGAATATAATATATAATGTATGTATCTTTTTTAAAACCAAACATGAAAAAAATGACCTAGTTTTTAGCGTTCAGTTTAAAAAAAAAAACATATTATATAGGTAGTAGAAATAAATTACTGTAGTTTTTATTACTATTATTATTGATTTTTATTAAGCTGTTTTTGATTTTTGTAATTTTATTTTTTAATCAATTTTCAAAACAACGGAATATTTTGTTATCAGTATTTTCAACAAACCCTCTTCGTGAACTAAAACTAAATATTTAATGTGCTTGTTTTGTTACAATTTTCCGATTATAATTTTGCGTTAAACCGTAGGTTTCTTTTGTCACTACAGTCACAACTTAAAAATTATGATAACCACCATGGTACTCTGATCACGTACCATACTATTGTGATGGTTTCTCAGCAGCTGTCCTGTTGTGTTCTTTTATTAAAATACTCATAGTTACTTTTTAGAGGAACTCAATATAATTTCATAGGCTATTACGCATGTGTGATATTTTATTGACGCAAATAATAAATTTAATTATTTTGATTTTCTTTTTTAATTATAGGTATATATAATTAAAAGCTCTACGGTCATCCAATAAGTTTCTAATTGATTTGTGCATCCAAATATCTGAGATTTGATTAAACGTTTTAGGTTTTACTGACTGGTCAATCGTAAAAAAGATTAATTAGTCTGTACGCTATTCATATATTTACTTCTAATAATTAAAGAGATCGAAACGGTTTCTTGTCTTTGTTTACCAAACCTTTAACCCTTATTTCTACCTACAAACATCTAACTCCTCTTAAAGTCGAAGTTTTGTCTGACAAGCACTCATAAAATCAACCCTTGTTTCATTTAAACAACGGAAATGTGTTCAAGTATACCTCCACTCAAATAAACTAAATAGCTTAAAGATTACTTATACTCTCATGCAGCACTTATTATATAATACATAGAATGAAGGTATTCTTTTTTTGTGGCGTCAAAAAGCATTTTTGTTCAGATTCATTTTTCTTTACGGATATGGTCAAATTTATGTTATTCGATATACTCAAATTATGTAGTAAATGTTCGGCAATTCTGTTTTATTATTATTTATCAAGAACATGGAATAAAAATATATTACCACGGAGTTGATGTTGTGAATTTCTCGAAAACTTGCAAATCGATAATTGTGTCATAACAATAATCTATATCTATAATAATAAAACCGACTACGACGATCATTCACACAGTAACTGTTTATTGCCAAAAAAAAATTAACTATTGATTACTTCTCTATTCAATTATTATTTATTACCTATACCTATAAATGAGACGATTCTGAAGATATATTTTTCGTTGTTGTCGACTTACCGAAATCCTTCGTATACCGAACAAATATATATATATATCAATTTTAACGACAACAAGATGTATCAACTACGCAAAGTCGTTATATCACAGGAAGTTCAAAGTAGAAATAAATCTAAACGGCATCAAGTATTTACAATGCAGTGTAGCGGCTGTATAATATATATTGTTCCATAACCGATTTTAAGTTATACGGATATGGCCACTATATATATTAAATTGTAAATTTACATGAAAAAAATGACACAGTAGATAACGTTTTATTGTTCATCGAGAATTTTCCCAATCTACAATACTTCTTGTACCTGCAACTTGTATTTCTTTGCATTTCTATTAACCGTTACCATTAATATATATTTAACAATATATTCGTGTCAATTTTTTCTTTATATTATAGGTTTATGGGTTACAGTTGTATAATTAATCGGTCATAATTTTAAATATTTTTTTTCTTAATTCACTAATACATACCTATTTTATTGTTGTTATGTACTGATTATTATTCAAAACAATATTTAAAAAATATATATATCGAAAAAATATTATACAACAGTGATCTCCATCTAGTATCTGTTGATATTATATTAAAAATTTTAAATCATACATTTTTATAATATTTCAATACTGAATGGATTAAATAAACATAAAATACTATCAGTCTCTGATTTAGTTACCTTATATATTTTTATTATTATATAATACTACTTTCTTAATAATATATAAAAGTAGGTAACAATTTTAAAGTGTATAATAAATTATCGTTTATTAATCCTATACCAATTGTTGTCTTTATAATAATGACCTTCCATTAATGTTATCATTACATATTTTTATTTTATAAGATTCATTATATTATTTCGTACACAATTGTATATTTGTGAATACATAAAAATATCTAATATAAAAATATTAGTTAATATATTCCCTGTACAACCTCGAAGCACCAACTATCACCGAATTATGTAAAATGATACTTGTTGTAAGCTGTTGTAATAATAACATAGAGTATTATGAATATTGAATATTAAGTAATATTATTTAGTATTTAAAAATGTACTATAAGAAATTATAATTGGGAAAAACAAATTTATTCAGAAAAACATTCAAATATGTTACGTATGGCTCAAAAGCTATTAAACGTTCACTAGGTATTTAATATTTAAATGTATGTTTACAATATACATTGATTTCAAAATCAATATTAGTCTAGATCAATATTATTACGAGTATATATTCATATTATAATTTAATAATGTATTATGATTGTTCATTTATTTTTTAAAACTATATAGTTAAAAACCTTAATATGTATACTATATTATAATGTGTTATAACACGATAGTTAAGTTATATTTAATATATTATTATTAAATTTAGTATTACTGTTTTTATGATACATTTTATGTAAAATTTACTAGTAGATCATACCGGTTATTGTAATTGTTTCGAGAGTTTACAAATTGCGCTTAAGATTACTATTTTACCAATTGCGCTGTATACATTTGAGGGTCGATAGACCACTTGTGCTCAAAACATTTTAAAATACCTACTTAATGTAAACTTAATAGTTAATTATAACTGTATAATAAACGGATACACACATCAATTATAGTTAGATTTTAAAAACACCGTTTTACTTTAATCAGATAATAAATTTTAAAGACACGATTTTGCTGTTCACCTCCACTTAATTCCATTTTTTGATTTAGTACATTTTCAAAACTTAAAATCATCATGGAGTAACAAAGGTTTACCTTTTTCATTAAGAGCTTGCTTAAAACAATCCATATTGTAATGTCAAACAACTCAAACTAATACTAAACAAAAATACATAAGTAACGGTTATCATCAATGTGTTATCCTATATAGTACAATTTACGAGTATATTGTGCAATGAAACAATTAGGCTGATAAATATCCTACGATAATGAAAACTTATTTTTGCTATCACTCAAATTCATACTTGTACTATCAAATATGCGTAATAATAATATTTTGTAAAATTCTTGATACTGTTATAAAATATATTATAATCAGTCACATAAATCAGTAATCAATTAATCAATAAATAAGTTTTTAATTTTTAAGCATTTTTGTGTGTAGATTGTTTATATCGATGTTGATGGAATTAGATAGAACAATAATATTTTCATAGCTGAAGATAGAAAAATTTAAATACAAGCGTAATTGGTACGCTGACCCTAAAATACAAGGAGCGCAATTGATATACTGACCCTAAAATATAAGGAACGCAATTGGTACAGTGACCCTAAAAAAAAATTTTGTTTTAGGCACAATTGGTCTATGCCCATTATTTTGACCGTCGATGTATTACTCGCTTGGATAATCTGTGTTCAATATAAACGTCTCTCTAAATACCAATCCAATAAATTATGTGCTGATAAAATCATAAGCTAAACTATTTTTTAAAAATATAAAAGAATAAACAAGATATCATTCTGCTAAAAAAACATAAATTTACAAATTAGATATATTTTTTTACAATACTATACAAATAAATGAGTATATTATGAAAGTTTATATTGGACATCGTTACTACAATCGGGTAATTCAGTAAAATATGTTTATGATCTATGCTGTAAAAATTAAACTGTAAATAAAGTTGTTCGTCATACAAGCTGATTAATTATATTTTATCAATATTATTTTTACTTCAAAAAATATTTATATAATTATTTGTTAGAATAAAAAACATGTTAGTCACTATAAATAATGAATATATTATTTATTATTTTCATTATTCAAAGTTCTAAAAACTGCATATTTAAAAAATAAAGATCAAAAATTAATGATTGAAAATTATAATCAATTTATAATTATGGTAAAGTTTAAATTTACGATCAAAAAAATAAAAATAATAATATAAGGTACCGAGTAGAACTGCTAATGTATTGAATTTTCAATTAAATATTTAAATGTAATATTTAAGTATAAACACTCGACAGCTTTCTTGTAAAATCTATATTAATTAAAAATATAAAATAATTAGCACTTAAGTACTTATAGGGAATTTTATACGTAAATGTGTTTGTTGATTTCGAAAAAATTATAAAAAATCTACAAAATAATCGTGAAGGTGTATCATGAACGTAGTTTTAATTAATTTTAAATTTAATTGGTTAAATAAAGGGCTTTTTAACCAAGCTTAAGGCCCATTGCACATACCCTGTCATCTAATCAAAAATGTTCTCAGTACCACTAAACTCCTTATTCCATCTAATTCCGGTTTGAATTTAAAAATATTGGAAAAGAACTGATTGTCTTACAACACTGTCAGTAGCTATTTGTGGCCATATTTAAAATGTACCTACTCTTATCGTAACCTAGCTATATATTTTTTACTCGGAGTAATTAATTATTGAATGTCAAAACAATTTATAGTTAATTTAAAAAAATTCTAAATTTCTGGTCAAATTTACTCGTTCAATCATCATTTTTTTAATATTTTTTTATTTCTGATAACATTGTAATGTTTTTAATGTAAAATTTATATTTATTAATTAATATCATAACATATCACCTAAAATTATAACCATTATAAAAATTAGTCTCTGATTATTTCATATATGCGACATTAAACTACGAATTTTCAGTAATGTTTTTAATCGGCCGACAATAACTTATCCAATAAACTCTATATAGTAGCTAAAAATTGCGTTCTTCTCTCAAATTTTCTTTTTATATGTTTTACTCTAATTAATTTATCTTCTTATATTTGATAATTATATCTACTAGAAAAAGTACTTAAATAGTGATAAGAACGAGTTGTCTAAAAGAATGATTTACAATTTTTCAGTAATAAAGATTCTTAACAAAGTAAAATACACATTTTTTTACAAAAAAACGTAAAAAAAAAATAGAAATAATTCCTAATGTATACTACATGGGTCGAAAAGCAATTGATATGATAACTGTAAAATTTCAGTGCCTGAAAACATTCAGAAAAAATTACATCTTTGGAAGCCGAATTTATATCTTTATTCTAAACTTCTTATTGTTCATATTATTCGGACAGTGCGATTAATTATTATATTACAATATTCAAAAATATTATGTGGTAAACGATTGTAAAATATTTAATACTTGCCGTCTACGTTATTGACTACGGTAAAAATCGTTTTTAGCGTAAAAAAAATATTGTTAAAAATAACGTGTACTCATTTGTTAAATACTATAATATTGTTTTAATTACTTCGTGCAAACATAGTGTTGCCCGGCGTATAGTATAGGCAAAATAGATACATAACTGCTGTATTCTGTTGTTGAAATAAATAATTATTATTATAACGTACTTTTTAGTTCTCTCCGATTATTCCGTTCGCCAAGAAAATATAGTAGACACAAATCTTATCGCATCATGTTAACACCCAATTCACCACTCCTCGGCACCAGCCGTACGCATGAAGTAACCATATTATTATTTAGGCGAACAGAGTATAATAGAAATATATACCTGTAACCGAGACATGTATACAGTCAACTATGGGGATATCTAAAACGAAAAATCTATAAAACAATGAGAGAGCAGTCCATGAAAAATGTTTGAATTAAACAAAATGTATAAAAATCATGTCATAATAAAATTATAATTCGAGAACACTTTATTAGAGTTGATAATAAAAAACTGGTTAGGTAATAATTATTTTTATAATTATGAATAGTATAGACGTATTTGTATTTACATAACTAGTTTATTACTTGTTTAAACTAACTTATAGTTAAGTTTAAATACATTCGAGTGTGCTTGTTTTTGAAACAATATTTTAATAAACAGAGGTTTTTGTTTAGCTATATTGCAGATAAATCTAGTTTATCGCGTCATTGAATTAGCAACTGTAATAGATGTGTTACATTACAATTCAATAATAAATCATTGAATGCGGCGTAAACGGTTTTAAATAGAAACCATCTGTCAGTGTATACTACTAAGGTTTTATTGTTTTAAATTTATATTTTTATTAGTAATGTTGTTCTATCGACAATACAGTAAAATAAATATTAATAATGTAAAAATTATATTATCAAAAACGAATCATATATATTAAATAGGTACCTAGTAATTATTAAAATATAACTATAAATATGCAATTTAACTAACTTATAAACGTTTATGTTAAAAATAGAAATATATAAACATTTATAAATATCTCACTACATAAATATAATACAATGTATTATATTATATATATACATACATACATACATATTTAGATAAATAACAAACACTTAAATAGGTACCCAATACTATCCAACCACTAAGCTTAAGCTTTAATAAAATTTTGTATTATAAATTATAATTATACTAACTATAAATAGTTCATTGATAAATATCGATTTTGAATCAAAAAAAAATTACATTGCGAGTAAACACATACAATTAATGTACCTATCTTAATGAAGAACATTAGTATACGTCCAAGACAACAGAATTAAATTTTAGTCTAAGTTAATGGAATGAAATAATTAACAAAAGGTTTTAGTGTCCATAGCAAAATATAGTAGATAGGTAATTGAATTAAAAATTTACAAATAATTAATAACTATTAGCAGTTTATATCAATATACTGAGTATCTAACAATTCATTTTACCAGATTCAATTGTACAAAATTATGTTTAAAATTTAAAAGTAACATCATATCTATTTTTATGGCACCTTTACCATCACCGTCATAATTACGGGGTACCTAACAGTGTTTTATGTAACCACTTATCTATGATCTTTTTTTTTTAACCGACACACGTACACAATATCGTTAATATATTATTATTCCAATAATATCCTTATATCACAAATTTATATGAATAATCCACCGCCAACATTACCGGATTAAACGGGTATACAGATTTGTTTTAAGAGCTTCGCTGGTTTTGACCTCAATTTCTCATCTTAAAACATAATAATTTACCTACTAGTCAAACCCTTTAACTTAGATCCTTTTCAGCTAGGCGTGATAAATTTAGTACCAACTTCATTCTAGGTCTAATCAAGTGCCAAGTCAACGCTCCAAGGCTTTTTGAATTATTTGATTTTCGTTTTCCCAATACTGCTATTCGTCAGTGTTCTTTTTATCTCCCAACAGTAAGTCTAACTTTTCCAAGAATCCTTCACTTCCAAAAATGATGCGTAATGTAAACTATCTTTAACATTTTTAATATGGAGGTACATTTTTTATTCATCATTTAAACGATTCATATCATTACTTACTCTTATAATCAAACTTAGTCTTAACTGAAGTTATTACAGTAGAACCTTTATAAGTCGAAAACCTTAATAAGTCAAAATACATTTCGTTCCTAGGTGAAAACTTCGATAACTCGAAAAAAACTATAGATAACTCGAAAATTCCACATTTTGAATATAGATGATTAGTGATTGGTGGTTCTTACAATTAAATGTTAATTCTATTTACCAGTGTCATTAAATTATCCAATACTATTTATCAGTATCTGCGGATCTGTGGTTCTATTCTAAAAAATCAGAAGAATTTTAAAAATCATTAAGCCACGAAAAATTTAAAGACAGTAATGATTGGCTTGAAAATTTTAAAAAATGGCACGAAAAGTCATTTGAGACAGTACGTACCTCATGTTTCAGTAAAACAAGCAAAAACTGCTCTCACATTGCTTAGGACATTTGCCGAACATTCTAGTGATGTGGATGATGAAGTAAATTTTGATTTATGAGGTAGAAAATACTATTGACAATATTAGGTGTAAGAACCTAACTCAAAATAATACCAAAAATTATTTTTATAAATTTGCAACAAAAATAAAATATGATAATACATTTAAAACTCTTTAAAGTTTAATTTATTTTCTGAAACCTTGATAATTCAAAAAAATTGCATTTTCCTTGAATTTCAACTTATAGAAGTTTCACTGTATATTAATATGTTGTATTTAAAAAAAGTCAGTTAGCGTCAATTTTAATAAAAAAATTAATTTAATTATACTTTTACAAATTGTTATGTATACTCAAATTAAGAGTTTAACATGCTATTGTAGGTACATAATTATTCATGATATAAGCTGATAGACTTAATATTGTAATGTGTGAAAAACATTTAGAAAAAATAATATTTTTATGTTATCAATAACATTATACATAAATATATACTTTCACTGAATATACTTTACTATACAAATATATTATACACTAAACTGAACTGGAATCAGCATGCTGAGATTGTTATTGAAAATGTGACTATTCTGTTCTTTAATTTTTTAACATTAGATAGTAAACTTAAAATAATCTTGTTTTAAATTTCTGGCACAGCAAACAATTCATTGAAGTAAAAAAATTTGAAAATTAAAACATCAATAAATGGTCCAAAATATATAGATTATTTTACTATTTATTGGAAATACCAACATAAATATTTAGTGAAAATTCCAAGTATCTATGATTATTTGTTATAAAAATTACACTAAAACAAAAAAATAAAATGATTTTTCAAATTCTAGTTTCATTTAAAAATTCCAGATTTTTCTTTGAGTTTTCAGGTATATGTGGAACTTGAAGGGATTTTCAGTTATTTTGAAATGAAAGAATTTTTTTACTTTTGACTTTAAAAATATCAAGTAGATCTTTGCATTCTACTTGCCCCATAAAGTGATGACATAAAAATAAAAATACACTTTCCATTTCACTTAGAATCTTAGAAAAAAAAAACACCAAGTTTTTAACAAGCATATAGTATAAAACAGAAATTACAAACTTATATAGTGTATACTAATTAACTTTCATAAAACTTTTAAAAAGTGCTTTGTTTTCAAAACACAAAAAAATTAATATGTTATATAATTAAAAATGTGTAAAAATAAATTTCATCTGTATGAAGTATTATTAATTTTAAAATAAATATAATCATCTTATTATAATGTGTTGCTTGATGCTGTTTGATATTTAAGGATTATTTGTTGGTCGTTTAGCAACCCATGCCTTAATTTGAGGTACTTCTAACACTTTTTCTTTCAGTGCCTTCAAATTTGGACGACCCTCTAATAAGTCAATTTTTGCCATAAAATTCATGTAGTCTAAAATAGCTACAAAAAATAAATCAGCCCATGACAACTGAAAAAAAAAATATCATGATTAAGATAAAATACTTCATTTATATACGTTTATATGTTTAGGAATTTGTTTTATTATTAATTAAAATTTTAATTATTACAAAAACAAAAAAAAAATGACAATACTTAAATTAAAGAAGAAAATATAAATAACTAACCAAGTAGATAAAACAATATAATCACAAACGTCAGACTGTGTGGATACAAAGTCGTACAATTTAAGTAGTCTTAAAACCAAAAAAAAAAAAAAAATCATAAACCTATCAATAATGTGACCAAAGATTAATGTTTAACACAGTTTTTATTATTATATTTAAGCATAAACATTAAAAACCTAAAGACCCTACCTAAAACATACAAGTAGGTACTGATCAATAACAATTTATAAAATATTTTATAAAAGTTAACATATATAATTATCGTTCAATTTTTTTATTCGTGCATTGAAGTTTCAGAAATAAGAAATAGAAAAATAAAAGTAGATATCAAGAATGACAATTATTAGGAAAATCTGTATCACTATGTCATCAAATAAGAAACAAAAGACGCTTGTTTTAATTAACAAATAATATTTAAAGAGAGTTGATCTTAAATTTGAGTTGTATTAAATGTTTTCATAAACAAATTCTATTTAGTTTTTGGAGGAATTATAAATATATTTAATGAATAAGCAAAAGTACCTTTCCATTTACAAAGTATCCATTATTTTCTTCAACACTTTTTTCAAATTTATTCATATAAAACGGTATTGTTTCATTGATCAATGGTGCATATCTTGCTTCTTTACTTGCTTCATTTGAATCGTATGCATATAATGCTATTGCTATTAAAATAATATAGTCATATATATATTATAATACCATTGATAAATAATATTTATTATTATTAATAATGACTTCTTGGTAATATTTACCTTGTCGTAAATCGTGAATATTATCAACAGCGATATCAATCAACAAAGATTCCCAATCGTCACTACCAGCTAATCCAGCTTTTTTAGATAAATAACGAGTAATTGCAGTCGATTGATTTAATACTTTCCCATCGATTTCCAATGTTGGCACTTTGCCAAATGGCATGGCTAAAACAAATAAAATCAACATGACACTTAATATTTAACTAATAAATTAAGAATATATTATCTAGAGTTACACAAATATAAACAGTAATAACACATCAAAACTATAGTATAATATATTACAGATAGTAAACAACTCGTGTACAAATATTATCAGATACATAATTAGGGATTTATGCTTACCCAACTTTGCTTATAAAACTATTTTAATTTACTACAAATCAATAATAATAATATGTTTTATAGGTTTGATGCATATAAATATAAGTATTATACATCTATGATAGAAACAGTGTTCAAAAAAATACACCAGGATAATATTTTCACCATATCATTGATACATATTATATTATTTTATTTACGACAAATTTTTTGTCAAATATATTGTATTTTATATTTTAATACACAATCTATTCTTAGAATATAGACTTTTATGATTCTATTAAATTTTTAATAAATACATTTTTTTTGTTTGCTTCTTATCATTTTTTTCTATAGTGTTCCATCAAACTGTATAGTTATAATAAATGTTCCGTGAACATAAACAAGTTTGAGAACCATTGTACTAATATTAATTAAAATAAATAAAAATACCATGAATTTAATTATAATTTTTGCACAAGTATAACCAACTATAAATTAAATAATAAATAAATCAACAAGTTAATCGTAAAATTTGAAGTCTAAAGCATGAAAATCATTCACATTAAATTCTTTATAAATTAAAGTAATACCTTGAAAGTAGTAGATGCCCTGAAATACTTGAAAAAGTAAGCTGGCAAGTTCTTACCTTTGATACTCAATCCACAACTACTTTTCATGTACCAGTCTTCTAGCAATGAATTTATAAACTATACCGTTTATATCTACGTTTCAGATAAATAACTGATAAGTACCAATTGTATAAATATTGAAATTGAAATTTAATATTTTTTTTCACGATTCCATATATTTTATAATTCTATAATTATTACTATAAATCTTCTATGTTATACAGTATCACTTGTATACACTGCCCGAAAGGGCATTAATATATATAAATAAATAAATAAAATAAATAATACTACCAAATTTAATAAATATTTGATAGTTCAATTAATATTAAAATTTTTAGATTAATGGTTATTAAAGCTCCCTCCCAAGTACCTAGATATGAGTACTGAAAGAGTAAGTTGATTATATAAAAATTTATTAGATAATTAATTTAGATATTTTCTTGTTAAACTGAAATAGATATGTGCATGGTTAGCATATTATGTAAATTATTTATTTATCAATAAGATATTAGGTACATAAAAGTTATAAATTAAATTGATTGATATAAAACAAGTTAAAACCTAAAATCAATTAAAGATTTGATAAATAATGAATAAAAATAAATCCTTTAAAAAAAAATTTTAACACGTTTTAGTTATTATATGCATTGTGTATTTTAATGAGTAAAATATTATTTAGGTAAAACATTTTATCCCTAATATCTATGTATATTTTATGCTAAGTAAATAAATTCTATTTAGTTAATAAAAACAATTTTAAATACCTGATAACTAAAATAAAACATGAAAGTAAATGTTTGATAAAAGAGAATAGAAAAAAATACTAAAAATTTGATTCATGAAATAAATTACAGTTTTATTAAAATTTCTATTTACGAATATGTTATCGAACAATTAAACAGATTGGAATTAATGCTAAACTCATAAACTTAGTTTACTAGTCCAGAGGTTCTCAAAGTGTAGGGCGCGACCTTCCGGAGAGGGGGGCGCAAGACAATTTTAAAAATCAACATTGCATTGGTAGAAAAAATAAAAAAAAATTGTGAAATGTCCGTAATAATAATCGCGTTTTGCATTGTATTATACATTTTATTTTAAAATAAATTTGTAATATTAATATCAATATTTGTTGTTTGTTTTTAACATTTTTTTACTCTAAACATGACTATTAAAATTATTTTTATGGGGGGGGGGGGCGCAGGTCTGGGGTTAACTAAAAGGGGGGGGAGGCTGCGCTGAAAAGTTTGAGAACCTCTGTACTAGTCTATAATACCAACTATTGTATCTAAAATTTGAAACAAGTATCTACTTAAATAACAAATAATTTAGGATTTAGGGATCAAGTTAATAAAGTATTTAAGCACCATACTATACTATTAAGTGCTGTGAAATAACTTACAGTGAAAGATATTAAGGTAACTTCAATTAATCTTTAATAAAAACTTACTTGGTTTGAGTGCAGGCCATTGTTCGCGTTCAAAACGAAAATCTTCGAAATCGATGTTTAAATAGGACAGAAGAAATCTGATGGGTTCTGCCAAAGCAGTGACGTTGAAATACGTGACTTTGTAAGACGACATTTTCGAAAAAAATTTGTTATACTAAACAAAAATAATAGTTAAACATTGTTAACGAATTATGATTATTAGATATTCTTTTTATGTAATATCCAACTGAATATGTATTAATAAAAATAGATACCTAAGAATATAAACAATTTATTAACGAAATTCCTCCGGTGATTGTTAACCAGATCAATAGTACACAGAGCACAGTCGACCATCAACGACATCAACTAACAAATAATTGGTAAGCACTGAGCACTAGCGGTGAATCAGCGAATGATAGGTACCAAGTAAAATTAATAAATATAATACAAAATAACTCGTCTCGAGGTCGTTTTTCTGGTATCTTAGTGTGGGGGGGGGGATTATAGTGGATGGGTTCGGTTTGTTGTTTATTATCTTTAGGCGAGTTGTGACGCATGACGGTGCGACGGTGGCGCTCATGATCAAGTAGATTCACATTCCACGCCTATTCGTGAAAATTGCAACGATAATGATCACATCGCCTATTCTCCTATTCCCATTTCCCAGTATATTATTATAATAACGTCAACGATAACAATAATAACGTGTAATTACAATAATTATAATACATTATTGATGGTATTTCGTCCGTGACCGTTTAATCGCACGCATTAAATAGGAGGAATGCGTTATTTCAGTGTTGCCAAAATGGTAAAGCATTATTACAACCTGTGCTCGGCGTACAAAAATTTGCGTTCAAATCTTTAGTCTTTTAAACTGTTATAAAACTACAATCAAATCTACACGTTTTTATTAATTTTCAACGAAAAATTATCGTGCATCTAAATAATTTACCACAGAATATGTAATAATGAATAATAATTGAATATCAAATCTTATATTTTTATAGACCTGATGCAATATGATGTACAAATTACAAGGTCGTTTTACCAATATATGTAACTACAGCTTATAGGTAGATCGTTGGCATACCTATTGGCTATAATTAGGTATCTCGTATCTACGATATAGAATCATTAATTCAACCAACCCTTCGGTAACCTCTAACTTAATGTAACGAGGACTCAGAAGTTATGAGTGAGGTGACCATGAGAAGTGTAAGAGTATTATAGCTTTAAAACTATTAAATAATGCTGCCTGTTCTTTCATTCGTTTAAAACAATAATAAAAAAAATAATAATAAAGAAGTCCGATTTTAATTTTTTAAATAATATTTGAATTTGTTTTAGCCTTTTTTCTATGTTCTGGACTTCTGAAGTAAATGTATTTTAATTTGATTTTTTCATTAACACTACATTAAATGTTAATTTTTTTATTCTAATTAATTTTGTCATCATGCTTATTATTGTAGAAATACATTGTAAATATTCTTTTAAATAAAAAAAAAAGAAATTTATTCAGTAGTATTAAAATACAAGAAATCAAAAAATCATTTAGGTACTACAATCCTATAAATAGGAAATAAAGAATTCAAAATTTTAAAATTAAGCTTTAGGTTCTAGTAATTTTACTTCCGTTTTTTTAGTTCCTATATATTTATTTTAAATAGTTACTCTGGATTAAAAACTTCTTAATTTTTTTCAATGATACAAAATAGCAAAGCTTAACTACGCGTATTTACATAACGAATTTTCAAGGAACGAAACCTTAAATTTCATGAGCCCATACGTCATACGATGAATGATAAAAATCTAAAAATTAATATTACCGTTGACCACAACTACAGAGTCGCGTTACAGTTTTGTTTGAAAAGTAAAGTAATTTTATTTATACTTAAAAATAAACATGTAATGAAAAATTTTGAAAATGTAACGAATAATTGTAATTTTTTCAAGTAGGTAATTAACCAAAGCTACAGGGTACGAAATAATTATTTTAATTTATCAAAATTAACCCAGACATGCATATACATGTGTGACCGCCGAGCACGCAATAACATAATGACTTGGTAACTACTATTAAAATTAACATTGATACGATTTATTTAAAGACCATAAAATTTATGTTCATAAATATATTTCTACTTTGGATATTATAATACTAATAAAGAGTTCATTATAATAATACATTGAATATCATCTGATTTACATTTATCGATAACGTTTTTATTTCCGCAATTATGCGTCGTCTTGTGCTTGTGATATTACACTATATTACAATATTTACTATAACGTATTATTGTATTAAAAAAAATAAGAAAATACCTACTTTTTCACTTATTTATATTATAATTTATAAACAACAATAACAATTATTGGACGGATTTTGTGAATAATCAATTTCAATGAATGTAATATGAACACCAAAAGTGTTACAAATCAGGAAACAAATAGGAAATTTTCAATATAATAGACAATGTAATAACTATTTTTAAATAAATATAAATAAATAATTTTAGAATAAGAAGCTAAATTAAACTATTGCACTTGTTTATGTTTGAGTTATACACGTAATTATACAGGTACACTATATATTTGTATTTAAACTCGTATAAAGTTATACTCTATACCTTAAATATTGCAACAGTTCTCAATCTTTTTATATCCGCATATCACCAACACAATTGGAAAATGTTCACGTATCCATACCACCACCGTACCATAATAATAACCTTTTTCTTTTGTTAATCCTAACCTAACCAAAAATATTTAATGTTAACAATAATTCATTCCTATTTTTCTTATTTATCTCACTATTAGTATTATAGTAGGTTGATTTAATTTTTTTTTGAAAATATTGCATTTAATTATATTATAAGAACTTAACTATTGTTATAATAATATATAATTATACCAACGATTAAGTATTAGGTAAAGTACAACTTAATTAACTCAAAATTAAATAACATCTTTCTGTAAATACTGTAAAACAATAAAAATAGATTTATAGTACCTAATTAGTATAATAAATATTATTTAAAAAAAAAATCAAAAATGTTATTGCGTAATGTTAAGTTTATAATAGTGTTTAATTAAGTTTCCACGAATAATTTTTTAAAAGTATAACAAAATTATTAATATAATATCGTTATTTATTGTTTAAATACGTAAGTAACTTTGTCCAAATTGGAATTTAAAATGTCTATGACAAATAATTGTTTTTATATTTTTAGATTGTATGATTTCAATATGAACTATTTATGAGAAATCGTATATACTATTTAGATACAAAAAGAAAAGTTTTTATGGATTTTCAGCTACAAATTAGTTTGCAAATTTTGCGATTTTGACGATTACGTCAAAATTCTAACTTGAAATGCATACAAAAAAATTGTTGCTATGCGTTTTTAATATTTTTTTTATAGATATGAGAATATCTTTTCTGAATTCTTTTAATAAATATCCAAGTATTTTTAGTCGGTAAATACTTTTTATTGACTTTTATAAAAAAAAATTTTAAAAAAATGAAAATGTTATCGTAAAATAAAAATTATAATATTAACATTTAGCAAAAATTTCAAATATCTAGTTTTTTCGTTTTCGAGTTACAAAAAAAAAAAAAAAAAAACAAAGTCAATTTTATCAAAAATAGGATTTGCGTAAAATTTCTTTTTATCCTTAATTTTTTATTTGTTTTTCCCAGTTGTTCAAAATGTGTACTTAGAATTTTTAAGTTTGACCTCTTTAAAGTACATACTAGATCCAATTTTATATTCAAAACCACCCCCATTTTTGAAAATTGAACCATTTTATCGACAACTTATCATGTACTCATATACAAAAGAACGCGCATCATGATATCATTACATTCTTCACTCTACTAAGAATCTAAAAATGTATATTAAGTACATTTTTCATAAATGTTTTAAGTTAAGAAAATTTGAAAGAAAATACATTTTTAAAAACAAAGAATAACAATATTAGTTATTTTATTATAATTAATTAAATAAAAAAAAAATATTATAATAATTAATTGGTCATAAATAAAAATTATAAAAAAGATTAATATGTTATGTACCACTATTATTGAATAGGTATAACAAAAATATATTAATTATTATACATATATACTATAATGGAATATGTTATTATACTAATTATATTTTATCATTTTATATAAAGGCGCTTTAATAATTATTGGCCATTAAAAAATAAGTACACAAGCAGAGCGTTTCAAATCGGATCGTTGCACCTATTTTAAAACTTAAACGTACGGACAACTGCGACCAATTCGTCGTCAATCGCCAAGCTCAAAAGTGTAATAACTAATAAATGTGACTAAATTAAAAATCAATAAATAATTCATCAAATAAAAAAGGGCATTTAATTTATCACCAAATTTTAGTGTTTAATTAATTAATTAAAAAAAAATAAACAAATTATTCTAATAGCCGTACGTTTGATAAAATTAAAATAATAATTGCCGTTCGACCCGAATAAGGAGTAATTGATACAACTGATAAGTGATAAGTAACTATGACTGCATAATATAATGTATAGATATATATAAATATTAATGTATAATTACACATTTATTACATATCATTACGTAAATTGTATTACCATCATTAAGCAGCGTTTGTGTTGAATACATAAAACATGTATCTACTTGAGTAATATCATCGTGTTTATATATTATGTTTTAATAAACTGCGATAAACCCAGGCCATAAAAGTTAGTTATTATTGTTATTAATAGAAGTAATTAAAATTTTTTTTTTTTATAAATACATTTTTCCATTATAAGAACGACTAAACGAACCCCAGTGGTATTTACTATTTAGCTTTCCCTTGAGTGGAATACTCGGATCACTTGTATTTTATAGTTCAATTTATAATGTTAGTTCAGGATTAAGTTCAGTAGTTTTTTGTTTGATAATAAAACTTTGCAACTGTTTAATTCTCAACGAATATGGTGAGAACAAAGTCTCCTGATTTTTGTTTCATAACATAATTATAAATTATAACAAAAAATATAAATATTTTGTCTTTCGTTATCTGTCGTTGCCAACGACAGTCGCGGAGACTGTCGTCGTACGATGCCATTACGCATGGCTATCATATTATACGTCGTTCTGCGTTCGGAGTGTGTTTTCCCGGTCTTTCTCGCTAATTCTTTTCGAGCAGTACTGGTCAACTGGCCAAGTGAATCGAAGCCTTTGGCTGGTTGAAAAGGGCGAATTCGTCGATTACTGCTGCCTAGTACTTATGACTTAAAAGTGGCTTCATATCGGTGTCTTTTCCGGTCATCGTTGCCGAGCTCGTTCGCTGTCGGAAATGTATAGTCGCTGTCTCTTAGTCTTCCCTCCCCCCTCTCGGAATGCCGAAACTATTTCTGTCTGGTAAGTTCGTCTGGGGGAATATTGAGTA